TGTCCTCTTCAATATCCATCACCAGGCTAACCCATCCCCCCACCCCCTCCCATCTAGAACCCTCAGTTTAAATCTGATCACTATCAATTCTACGTGCACAGGATGAGAGGTTTTAATTACAACTCAGATGAAGAAAATAGCAAGAGAACTCATTCATGGCAGTGTACAGATGGGCCAAATTCAAAACAGTCAGCGTCAAATTCCCATTACACTCACAATACACAACAGCAATTTCTGAATAAAATTCAAAAGAAAACACAAACTTAAGAAAAGTTAAGTTCCTTTTTTTTAAATAAGCATCGCTATACAGCAAAAATGCACGTACATCCATAAACTATCTGTCTTGTTTTTAAAATCCAATGAAGTTTAAAATCTACTATTTAAATCCCCAAAATACAGAATTCACAATAATTTACAATAATTCATGGGAAACTTTTATACCTTTGTTATTGGTACAATCATCATTAGTTCTGGATCTCAACATCAACCAGGGTATCACAACAAAGCATTAAGAATTTATGCTAATTTTACAATTTAAAGCTGGGGGACAGGGGAGGAATAACAGCACCCTCCTCATAAGATTTTTATTAGAATCACACCTGACACACAGCTACCACTCAATAAATGTGACTAATAGTTATTATTATATTTTCCATTTCAACAAATACTTTAATTGTTATATCCCCAACACAGGTACTAGTGCCAGGAAGTTCATATTTGCTTTAAAAAAAATTCTGTCCTTCGTAATGGGGAAGCATCAAGTAATTTTCCCACTTATACTAAATTGAAATTGTACATTTTCAAAATACCTCATCAAATACCTCATCAAACATTAGAGTACTAAAAAAATGAAAAAGGAATTTAAGATATAAATCACTGCCCACTGTAACCTCATGAGGTCCTGAATATTACAGAGCTCCAAAACAGTATTTGATTCCAAACCACTCTAATGCTAATAAATGTATAAAAACAGATTAAATGCCTTTTCATCTAACTTTAAAGTTAAAATTCTTGCAATACTCACTATAAAAGTCAAAATGGCACACAAAATTAATAACATGTAAGTTATATCAGGCTATATTTATACACCCATGAAATTCCCACTTCAAATACCCTGTCCACATAAAATAGCTGGTATTGAGACAGAGTGTTTCTTAAATGTTATTTTTTATCTAAACCCTCCCTGAAAAACTTGTGAATCACTTTTTAAAGATGAACAATTCTTATTTACGGATTACACTAATGTTAAATAATTTCGTCTAAAACTAGTCTTTAAATCAACTAAAATTCTTTGGCATGAAGGCAATGTTTTGTTGTTGGTTATCCATTCATAATTTTAAGTATTTCAGTAGCTAGAACCAGAAAGAAAGTGACAGATCTCTTACAATACCCCCATTCTACCTCAGTAATAAATAGTATAACTGCACCTAAATTTAAAGTTTCGCAATCTGAATTCAGTTATATACTCTGAATGAGCATCAAACAAGCATATGACAGTCACTGGGAAAAAGATTCCCTGAGTCTAAACACTAAGATGCTTGTTCAACTTGTTTAAACAAAGATACTGCTAAATTAATGATAAAAGGTACGTGACTAACCTCCAAAATTTAGAATTCATGACAGTAGATACTGTTTATTGTATATGAGCCTTTTCTAGGCAATCAAGTTTCCCTGATGATAGCTAGAGGCCTTATACTTTGAAAATCCACTGCTTAGCCTCATCCTCTCATATAGTATATGTTCAGTAACTACTCAAATTGTACCATCTAATCCTCATACCAACCTTAAGCTACGGCATTATCTTCTTAATACAAAAGAAACCAAGGCTGAAAAGATGGATCCAAGTCAACTGGCACATGGTGGCCTGGCTTAATACCTTGCCCTAAGTCACAAAGCTAGTGGCAATGGCAGAATCTGATTTCAAAATTTTATTTTTCCAAGTATACCGTATCATCCAAATAGCAAACATATAATAATTATAAACTCAACAGTTACTTAATTCTTTTCAAATTATATTCCTTTATTACTGCTTTTCAAGGACAGAAATCCTTAGGAGCTTCAATAGGTCCCTTCAATATTTTTGCAATAGACATTTGATCGAGCATCTATTCCTTACTTCCCAAGAATCCCAGATTTCTGATTTGAGAACTCTATTTGGGGATCTTTGTTGTTCCAATGAAGTCATTGTAGAATATGAGTCCAATGAGGGCACTATTAAAGGTAGCTATATGACCTGAGTGAATCGCAGAACTTCTGGAAAAGTTGGGACACGATATAAAATAAGGCAATATGCAGCCCCAAGAGCTGGAAGCAGCCATCTTTGGATGAGAGAAATCTAGGCAACATCATTAAGCCACTGGAAGAAGTCTTACTTAAAAACAGAGAAAAATGCAAACTCATAGACTTTTATAAGGGTGCTTCTCATTTCAATGTTCTTTCACATACTGTTCCCTACTCATGGAATATCCTTTCCCCCTTGTTAATACCTCCCATCTACTGCACAGCTATTATGCACCAGGCATCAAGTGAGACGTTAAACACATGTTATCTCTAATACTGAAAACTAATCTACATCCAAAATCTACAAGGTAAACCTTATCCTCACTATTCATGGATGAGAAAATTCAAACTCAAGGAGACTTGAGTGACATTCTCAATACCACACAGCTAATAAGCAGAGCCAGCATTTAGGACCAGGTTTATCTAGCTCACAAGTACTTGTTCTTTCAACAACATGCAGTCAGCCACATGGATCTTGTCTTTAAAGGTCTTTGCTCAGGCATCAGATCTTCTGTGAAGCTTTCTCTACCCATTTACATATTTCAGGGATAGCTCATTTACAGAAAGGAAATATTACAATGTGTCATCACTGTTTACATATTTAAAATGCAGGCTCCTTAAAGATAGGAGGATCCAAGGAACACCAGTCCCTCCCACAATGTACGACATAGGCCAGTGAAGCAATAAACATTTGTAAAATCATCAGTGAATGGAGATATGAAGCCCTATCTATTACAGATTAAATTCTTTAAAATAAACAATTGTCATTATACTGAAATATCCTCTTATATACAATGTTTCAGAAATGTGGGTTTTAGGAAGAAAAGTGTAAATATTTCTTGAGCTCATATATTTGCTGCATATACTAAATGTTGCCCTGCCAGACGTAAGAACCACAGAGAAACATCAGAAATTCCAAACAGTAACTTTATACATTTTTTCCAAACCAAGTATTTCATATGTACCAAAAGCTCTTGTGTTTAGTAAACAAAGGACATATTTACTATGCACATAATAAAAATCAAATACACTTAAAACACTGGACTGTTGGCTTTTCTAGAACCAAAGTTGCCTAATCCATGTCACTTTATCTGTAAGTGAAAAGTATGAACCAAACTATCTCCTAGATTCCACCCAGCTCTAGGATTCTGCTGTAATTCAATATCACTAATTGTCAACTTCTCAAGAGTGCTTCCCTAACTACAATCTAAAAGTAACCTCTCAAACAAGATCTCTGCTATCATACTATTATAGTGCATACTTATCCCGGACATTTTTCTCATTTAATTACTTATGTATTATTATCTCCCGTAGTAGAATATAAGCACCAAAAGAACAGGGATTTTACTGTATTCATCAGCACATCCCAAGGCTTCACAAAGAACACAGTAGACACCCGGTATATGTTTGTTGAGGAAATAACATTCAAAGACTAATAATGCCTTGTTGCCCAACATGAAGAAAAAAAAGCAAATCGTGCAGTGCTGGGCATGTCCTGCATTTTCCAAATATTTTCTAATATATTATGATACTTTGCCTCAGTATTAATCTTAAAAGGTTTTTTTTGGGGGGTACCCAAATTACTTTATACGAAAGAATGCTACAAATGAAGAACCTAAGTAGATGTTTTGGTGTAACAAAGGTTTTAAGAACATTTAGCGACTACTTTAAATACAAGATAATTAGTACATAAAAAGCAACTTATCAGTTCCAAAATCATCCGCACACTTTCCAAAGAAGATTTCAGAGTAACAGAGTAACAAGAATCTTATCAAAATAAAGCTTAATGAAGCAAAGAAGAATACAAACCATCCCAATAAGTCAAGACGGTAGTCTCCATTTTTCTGAAGCAATGCTGTCTTCCCATCTCTCCCAATTTCTGTATACAGCCTGCTACCGATACTGACAGAGAAATCTTACAGACACCACCACAAGTACAATGACACAGCTTCTAGTCAGTATCTTATTTCCATTAAAACTTTTCCCAAACTCAAGACTCTCTTTGGACCATGAGGCTAAAACCCTACCACCTCACATCTGCTTCTCTTCCTCTCTCGCAATTAAGCCTCTCGAACTTTTCCCTTGGGATTCAAATCTCTGCCATCAAGACATTTTAATCCCGCTGCTATTCCTAAGTGCCTGCTTTCTCCCAGTGCCCTAGGTACTCTGCACCCGAGGGGAAAAAAAGCCCAGGCTACGCATCCTTGCTCTTTCCCACCCTAGCTTCTCCCCCACCCCCTCCACGGGCGCCCGGCAGGTGCCTCGATGGGGACCTCCGCGCCCCGGCCGCCCAGAGGCGGGGCACACAAAGGACCCGCACGGCCCTCCCCAGCCTCCTCCGGTCTCTCCCTTACAGCCCCATCGGGTCAGCGCCCTGGAGAGCCGAGGCCCGAGGGAGGCGGCGCCGGCTCCGCGGGGACCAGCGATGCTCGCCCCGGGCGCCCCTTCCTGACCCCACCTTCGCCCACGCCCCACCCACGAAGGCTGCCCCGGGTCGGGACCCTCGCCCGGAGAAAACGAAAGCGCATCCCCAGCCCGGAGGCAGGGGCCGAGCGCAGCCCACCGGCGGGCCTCCGCCGCCCCTCGCCGCTCCCCCGCGCCCCAACGGCCGCCCCGGCGCGCGCGGGCGCCCCCGCTTTCCTCCCGCGCCGCCCGGCGCCCCCGCCCCGCCCCCCACCCCGGGGGAAGGGCCCACGCCCGCCGGGTCGCCCGGCACTCACAGGCTGCCGGAGCAGGAGGTACAGACGAAGGAGCCGATCGTCATGTTCACGTAGGTGGGGCCGCGCTGGTCGCAGTCGAAGCACTTTCGGTTGTGCGGGAGACCGGTCATGTCCCGCAGCATCTTCAGGTGCTTCTCCTCCTGCTTCCGCTTCGCGCTGGCCGCCATGGCCGCGGCGCCGAGGGAGGAGGCCGGCAGGGCCGGGAGCGGGAGCCGGGCGGCGCTGCGCCGGGGGCCCGCGGTCCCACGGGCCGCCCTGGCCGCGGCCGCCGCCCTCCGTCAGCGCGCGCCGCCCGCGCCGGACCTGGCCGCCTCGGCTCGACTCGACTGCGCTGGGCGCGGCGCGGACGCTGCGGAGCGCGGGCTGACGGGTCACACCAACCGGCCCGGCCGGGACAACCGACGCCGCCGCCGCCGCCGCCGCCACCTTCCCGACTTCTCCTGAGGGGAAAAGAGGAGGAAGGGGGACGGCAAGAGGAGGCCCGCCCTGGGCGGCCGGAGGCCAAGTGTCGGCCGGCGCCCCCTGCTGGCCAGGAGGAGTTAGTTACTGCGGCCGCGCTGAGGCCTGGATTTGGGCGGGGGCCAAGTAGCAAAGATGCAAAGGTGCTGGTGATGATAGACAGTATTTATTGGAGAGCTTATATGTGCTAAGCGCATTACCTGACTTAACTTCCTCCCCTGCTCAAAACTCTCCAAGGGCTGCCCCCTGCTTTGGGGATAATTCATAATTCTGGGGTTCCTCACTGTGCCTTAAAAGGCGCTCCCTCATCTGACCCCACCTCCCTCTGTGTCCTCTGTCACCATCCTGGTTTCTCACTACACTGGCTTTCCGTTTGTACCCCACACACGACAAGCTCCCTTCTGACCCAGGACCCTTGCCCTGCTGTTCTTTCTCTATTAAGGTTTCTCAATCCTGCCACTATTCACACTTCGGACTTGATAATTTTTTGGTGTGGGGGATATTGGGTTGAGGGATATTGCATGGCATCCCTGGTAGCCTTTATCCACTAGATGCCAGAACCACCCTCTCCCCACACCCTCCGTGTGGCAATCAAAAATGCCCACACATTGCCAAATGTGGAGCCAGGGTAGACAAAGATGTAGTCAATTCATTTATGCACGCTTGGCGGGCAAACTTCCTCAACCCAACCAACCTATTTAAATTTGCGACCCACCTTCCTGAAAGTAGCCCCCCATGAAATAGCTGTGTTGGGTTTTCTTCCTAGTTCTAGCTGTTTGAAATCCTGCTTCTTATTTAGTGTTTACTGAGTGTTGTCTGGGATCCCCGGTTAGGCTCCAAACAGCCTGGCCCCAGCATTTTCCTCACTACTCCACCCTCTGCCCCTCCCAGAGCTGGAAGCTAGGTGCTCAGTGTTCATGGGATGAATACATTCAGTATCTCATTTAATCTTCACAAGATCCCTTTGGGGTAAGCATTACTGTTCTTTCCGTCTCACAAATCTGGAAGCTGAAGCTCTGGGGAATTAAGTACATTTACCGAGGATACATATGGGAAAACTGGGATTGCAACCCAGACAGCCAGACTGTAGGACCCAAATCTCTTCATCGCCCTCAGCAAACACAGCCAGCAGGATGTTAGAAATCATCCCTGCCCCTCGTTTCCCAAAGGAGTGCAGGGAGACCCAGAGAGCTGAAGTTCCAAAATCACTCAGCTGGTGAATGGGAAAGTAAGATTAGAACCCACATTTCCTAATGGCCAAGGCCAGCCCTCAGACATCCCTTGAAAGTAACTGGACGAAACGCCCAAATGAGACTTCATGTTAATATAATGCCATCAGTAATAGCTAAATATTACAAGAAAGTGATCAACAGATTTTGGATTGGTCAATGGATTTATTTTTTAACTTTCTATTAAGGGGAATATCAAACTCCCATGAGACTGTGGCCCATCGTCAATTATCAGCTCATGGCTAATAGGCTTTCTTACCCTCCCCGTCGTACCCTCACCCCTCCTATTATTTTGAAGCAGATTCCAGACAGCATATCATTCATCTGCACGTATGTTAGTTTGCATTGCTTAAATAAATAAATAAATAAATAAAAGCTTTTTTTTAACTGAACCATGATACCATTAGCACACCTAAAAAATTAATAATAATTCCTTAAAAATCATGAAATATCCCAGCAAGATTTGAAGTTTCTCACTGATGTTTTAAAAAGATGCTTATAGTTTATTTTAATTCATACATTGTAGTTGGGTAATATACCGTACTAAAGTGTGTTTCTGTCTATCTCCTTTTCTCTTGTAATTCCTTTTTGTTTTTTTTGGTTTTTTTAGGAACTGGGCCCTTTGCCATGTTGTTTCCCACAGCCTGTGTTATTTAACACCCCTGCCTTTCTTAAAATTTGTGGCTGGGTCTAGTTCACTTGTTTCCAGTTCAGTTTTTGTTGTTGTTCTTGGCAAAATTTTATTTCTTTGTCTGCTTCCATCAGGCAGCGCATGATGGGGGGAGGGGGAGGGAGGTCCTTTCTATCTTTTTATGATATTAGCAGACATTGATGATTAATATCTAGATTCCTTAATTTATGAAAGGTCACAGAGTGGTGATAATCTAACTCTGTCATTCCTTCTCTGTTTGTCAGGTGAAATATTCCTATAAGGATAAACTTCCCCTCAGCTACTCTCTGGCACAGTTTCTGTCAGAAAGACAGTTTAAATGTTTGATTCCTTTCCTTTATTCACAAATTTTCAAAATAATATATTGGTTTCCTATCACCTTGCAATGGTGATCAATATGTTTGTCAATGTCACGAGCGGCTCAAGAAATTAAACGTAGTTGATATGTTTCATATCGTTGGTACTCACATTGTCTCATCACTGGCCAGTGAGAGCCTCTTCAAGTTGGCTCCTGAGTCTTTTTGACAAGGCCCTTGACTTAAGGTCATCTGGAGCACCCTTACACCAGGGCCCTGGGCTGTTTAGGAGAAGACAGGGCTGGAATGTCCAAACCAGGCCTGAACAAAACAGGCTCACTTACCAGCCCCACTCCAGCTAAATATAAGACGCCCAGCAGACTCTTATTCATCACCAACAAACGCACTTAACCCACAGCCAGTGGCTTGCTTCTCTGTGATGCTCCCTTGTCATGTGTACGTTTTCTGGTTCATCTCTCCATGGTTTGTCATCTGATAAATGCCAAAATCAGAAGGCGTGGCCGTAGCACCTTGTACAAACAGTTTACTACGCGGTTGTTTTATTGTCATGTTGTTTAAAGAAGCAGCAGCTGCATTTCCAGACTATCCATCTGTAGGAAGGTGAAGTTCAGGGGACGTCCAAAATATGTCCTACATGTAAAGCTGAAAGTCATGATGGGCTGAGTCTTGGCTTTTTCGTACTCTGTATAATATCACAGCAGGTTTCTACTTTTAAAAATCCCAAGGGAAGTTTGCAGTGTGTCAGGCCAGACCATTTATTTACTGAAATTTGCTTATCCCTCACACCAACGCGCAAGGACGTATTATTATCCCCACTTTATATAGGAGGAAACTGAGAGTCTGAAATGCTGGTTTGCCCTAGGCTACGCTGGAAATGAAGCAAGAAGCTGGGATTCAAACTCACATCGGGCTGCGCCACCCCAGCTTCCCCTTCCAGTAACTGAATCCTGGCCCTGCTTATGAAGCAGAAATCACCTTCAGAGACCTTAGCGCGGCAGCCAGAGGGATCTTTCAAAATGCTAATGTGATTCAGGCGTCCCCAGTCTCCTCCCCCTGCTTTAAGCCCTTCAGTGACTTCCCATTGCTCTGAGGCTGAAAGAAAATCTGGGAGGCCCAGAAGCCCTTTGAAAGTGGCCTCCTTCGTGCAGACCATGCTAGGCCTCCCCACCCTGCCCCAGCTCCAACATGCCTCAGGCATGACCCTAAATCTCCACCACCCTGCTCCAGCCCCACTTCCTTCTCTGGTTTTTATATTCTCTTCTGTCCCACCTCAGGGCCTTTGTACATGCATTGTTGGTTCCAAAAAGAGACTTCCCTCTCTTTCCCTTCTCCTCCCTTAGATCCCGCTCAATATCTGGCTTCAGAGATCCTTCTCTTTCCCTCCCAATTAAGCGAGACCCCATATAGGTGCTCATAGTAGCATGTACCTCTCCTTTGGAGCACTTGCTGCTATGGCTATTTACAATGCTTTGTGATTTCATTCCCTAGCCCCCCACTACACAGTGGACTTCACTCAGGAGGGACCTAGGTCTGCATCGGCTCACCATTACTCCTCCAGCACTTAGCATGGTGCCTGGCTAAGGGGCTCAGTAAGTATTGGCTGAATGAGTAAGTGAAGGCAGCAGTGGGGAGCCAGAGAATAAAGCTTCCTTCAATCTTATGCGGTGGGTTCTGGGTTCTGTTTATTGTTGTCTCGGCTGTTTTGGCTCCTGGAATGACTACAGCTCTGCCCAAGCTCCTGTAGTTTTGTTAAAGAACTTGCAAATTCTGAAATCAAACCTCTGATGGTAAGAATCCAAAACCTGACTTGCTTAGAGGCTCTCGCCCGTCTTATCACCAAGGGTGACTCAGAGAAAATGTCCTGAACAAACCGTGACATTGGGAGAGGCCCCAAGGAGCCAGCGACAGAGCTGCCAACTCATCCTAGGCTACCCCACCCTCAGCGCCTGGAGGCCAAGCCCGGAAAGGAGGCCCTTCTATGTCTTCCCAGACAGCAGAGCAGGACAAGCATTAACAAGTATCAAAGGATAGGTAGAAGTGACTTAATTGCCCAGAGCATCGGAGTGAGGAAAGGAGGGCTCCCCATTGAAGCAGGACTCAAATTTAGACTTAACAGTATTCTCTGGGTTACCCACAGGGTCAAGGGGATCCACCAACAGAATAGAAAGAAGATATTGCCAGACACACGTGCGTGTCCCATGTCCATCCCTGCCACCAGCAGCATGCGACACATCCTGAATTCATACTTTTTTTTTCCAGATTTTTATTTAACTTCTAATTAGTTAACATACAATGTAATATTCATTTCAGGAGTAGAGTTCAGTGATTCATCACTTACCTATAACACCCAGTGCTCATTACGACAAGTGTCCTCCTTAATCCCCATCACCCGTTTAGCCAAATTCATGCTTTTAGTAAGTCCTGGATTTACTTTGTGAATAGCACCATTGTCTTGTTTTCTTGGTTTGCTTGGGTATTCAAACGTCTCATTTGTTAAGTATAATTATTTTTAAATATGCCACAGTTTTTGTGACCCCATGTTTTCATATACTGGGAGCCTTGAAAACACCAAAGGGGCATAAACCCACTCCCCACCTCTCTGCCCAGCTCCGGCTTGGAGCACTGACCTTTCAGAAGCTCCTGGCCCTCCCTCAGACACCCAGTTTCGGGCTGGTGAGCCTGGACGGTTGGGGATCCTCGAGTCTACATTCTTAGGGTCTTCATATCTTCTTTTCCTTCAGGACCCCCTGATGCCCCAAGCTGATTTTGATTAGGAGAGGCGTAACCAGATGACAGTGAGAATTTACAATCTAGGAAAACTGGACCTGTGGGTTTTCCCTCTTTCTTGACAACTTCCCTCCCCATAGCATGACTTTTTCCAGCCAGTGGCCCTGAAACCAATGCTCATTCTTATGGCCTGTTTAAGCAATGCAAAAGGCAAGTAATGGTGGCCCCATTAATTCCCCCCAGGCCCCCAGGGTTTCACAGAATGAATAATCACAGGGCCTGTGTATAAAGCATTGCGGAATAATATTCAACTCCATTTTTCCCCCTTTCTTCTGTTGATAGCGCCTTCCTCTAGCTGTGGTTTGATTATTTTTAACATTGCTCTCTGATTCGCTTTTTAATTTGCAAGAAGCAGTGAGATAGAAAAGGAAGGAGGGGAGAAAACCTACAGAAGACATGCAGTTAGTGCACACTTCCTGGAAACATCGGTGTGGTTTCAGGGTAGTCTCTGCAGAGAGCGCCAAGAAACTAGACACCTGAAGGACCCAAGCCCCGCAGCACCAGGCTGTCAACCTGGCTTCCTTCTCTCTCAAGACACGGGGATAAACAGAGAGGCTGCAGACCTGTCCCCTACCCCCACCCCACCCCACCTACCTCCATAGCTGTCCAAGCTGTTAAGACCTTCTCTTCTGCTGGGGTTCATTTTACCCTGTCCTTTGTGAGCTTTGTCTCACCAGCCAAATTCTGTCTGCCCAGAGAGCAGGGATCAGGTCATAACCTGTGTCTCTAGTTTGCCAGGCCCTAGAAGGATCATGCCAGTTGGTTGACAGAGCCAACCCCAGGCCATTCTGGAAGAACGATTGCAGATTACAGCTAGACTCCAGTTATCCATGTATCAGAAAGTCATTTTCCGGATTTTAGAGGGAAACCAGAAATACCTTTCAGCCTTCACTCATTCATTCATTCATTCACGAAATCTCCATTGAGCACGTACCAGCTGCCAGGGTCTGTGCCGGACACTAGGGATTGGGCAATGAACAAGGCAGAGTCCCTACTCTCCTGGACCTCCTGCTCCCACAAGAGCAAGAACAAACAATAAACATGTTAATAGAAATGGACCAGGTGGTGCTAAGCGCTCTAATGGAAAATGAAGCAGAGTGAGGGAAGGTGGTGTGAAAGGAGGGAATGTTGCTGGGTGGTCAGGGCAGGCCCAGAGGCAGGCAACACAGGGAAAATTCTGGCACTGGCGCATGTCAGAAATCATAAGGAAAATGGCCTGTTACAGAGACCCTGAAACTGAGCAGCTTCCCTTCCTCAGATCGTGCCGGAATCAGAAATCCTGAACCGCCCTGCCCTGGCCGCCTCTGGAGAGCTGGAATCATCATCTTTGGAAGCCAATGGAGAGAGAAAAGGTCCCTGCCTCTGCAGCAGGAAGAGTCCCAGGGTAAGAAATGCTCCATTCAAGTTGTCAATGGAACGTTGTTCTTGCCCATTACTGAAGAGAGAAAGGGGACCTTCCCTTCTGGTTCAGGGGAAAGAAAGGGGCCCCTGTGGGGAGAGAAACCTCTAGTTATCAGAAAAGAAACAGCCAGCAGGGCCTATGGGACTTACAGAAAAGGAAAATGGACCCTTCCCCATCAGCCCTGCGTTAGGAAGTGGTCAGATGGAGACATTTTAAAAGTGGGTCTCTGAAAAGGTTCCTCTTCCTTGTCTATTTCTCACCTAATGCTGGCAGATGGGTCATGGTTCCTTGTACAACAGGAGGTGAGCTGAGCACAAAGTAACTCTCTTGAGCCCAGTCCAATGATGTTGCCATCACACCTCACCTCCAGAAGGGAAGCAATTGCCCAGGATTCCACTGTTGATATCCCAGTAATGATGACTAGCATTTCTTGTCCTGAGGCATTAAGCCCTCTGCAGAGCACATGCTGAAAGTAACCCCATCAATCCTCACACCAGCCTTGGGTGGGACGTTTTATTGTTACGCGCATTCTACAGATGAAGAAACCAAGATTCCTGAGTTAAGCACCTTGCCAACGTCATATAGCTGGGAAGTGATGGAGCTGGGATTTGCAAGTTGGCCCTTTGTCTCCAGAGCCCATGACTCAGCCTCCACAGTCAGCGCTGCGGTGTCTGGTGGGATGCTCTTGTCAACCAAGCCCGATCCTACAGGAAAGCAGGAAAAATCAGGAGGTATGTGCGCTTTCCTGCCCTCAATCTGGCCGTTGAGGGTCCGAACAGCCCGGCACATAACTGGCACATAACTAGCCCCAGGTTTCTGCTTATGAGGATGCGGCCTTCCCCTCAGAGCTTTAGGCCGTGCACTTGAAGGAACTGTCTTCTCTCAAGAAGTTATTTAGATGAGGGAAATTACCTGAAAAGCCACATACACCAAGCTCCCACAGTGAAAACCTCCTGAATGTTCATTTAGGTAATTGTTGCCCTACAGATTTGGTCCTCAGTGAATGTGCATGGGGCTCCATAGAGCCAAGTCCGCTTTTGAGGTTGGGGAGCCCCTGGAGCAAGTTACAGGAACAAGCGCATAGCTATTTTTATCATAAGGATAATAATGTACCACTTTATTATTAGTCACCGTCCCAGCCCTGGGGGGTTTGATGATTCAGAAGGTTGCGGTAAGGACTGAATGAGGTGATGTACACAGCACAGCACCTGGCATTTATGTAAGCCCTACAGTCATTCTTCTTCTTATTTTAAATATGCCTACGAATTCCCTTTCCTTCACTCGGTGTGTGTTGCTTGTAAGACACCAAGTCAGCCACAACTGCAGTTGAACAGCAATTGGCTCGAAGCTGCTCTAAATGAACCACCTCCCCCCACCTAATTTGTGGCTCCTCTTTGACCCAGGCAACATCACCCCCTAATTAGTGGTAATCACGTGTGGTCTGGGGAATCTGCAAGGCAGTCGGTGATACGCTTGAACAACTGTGTTTTACTCAGCCCATACTGGCTTTTATCTGTTCTGAGTAAATGTCTGACTGTATCTGGTTCAATAGATTCTGCAGATGAAATGCTCCAAACACGTCCAACCATAGAAGCTACCCGCTCATTGATTATTGTTCTATTTGGAAGAGTGAGCGTGCGCATCTGTGTGTGTTGAGGAAGTGGTGAGAGGTTTCTTTAAGCAGACCTACATCCCCTACGTGTGCCTTGTGCAGGACAGGAGGGCACTTATGAGCACTGTTTCTGAGTCAGACTGTCTGCATTCCAATCCTGGATTTCCCCGGGGAGCTTGAGGATGTAACTTCACTTTTCTGTGCCTCGGTCTTCTCACCTGTAAAATGGGAATGATAATATCACCTACTTTATAAGATTGCCCTGAGGATTAAGTGATTTAATAGGTAAAAGCACTTAAACCAGTATCTGGCAGACAGTAGGCACTCTACAAGTGTTAGGTATAATTATTATATTCCCTTCTCTTCCCATCATCCGCCCCACCTGCAACTCAGCCAAGGTAAGCAAGCAAATATATGTGCATGTATACACATGTACTAGCTGCCTAGAACACTCTTTTCTGTGATTGTTTCATTTGTTTTTTTTTAATATCCTAAGTACTACAGGAGTACAATCTCATTTAAAAAAAAAAAAGCTTCAAACAATGCTGGTGTGGTGGGTTAAGTGGCATCCTCCATTTGAAACCTCAGGATGTGATCTTATTTAGAAATAGGGTCTAAAGGGATGCCTGGGTGGCTCAGTCAGTTAAGTGTCTGCCTTCACCTCAGGTCAAGATCCTAGGACCCTGGGATCGAGTCCTGCATCAGGCTCCTTGCTGAGCAGGGAGCCTGCTTCTCCCTCTGCCTGATGCTCCCCCTGCTTGTGCACTCACTCTCTCTCTCTCTCTCTCTGGCAAATAAATAAACAAAACCTTAAAAAAAAATAGAGTCTATGAAGATGTAATTAGTTGAGGATCTCAACATGAAATCATCCTGATTTAGAGTGGGCCCTAAATCCAATGCCCTTAGAAGAAAACAAGAGGAGGGGCACCTGGGTGGCTCAGTCAGTTAGCCTCCAACTCTGGATTTCAGCTCAGGTCATGATCTCAGGGTCCTGGGATTGAGCCCGGCATTGGGCTCCACACTCAGCACGGGGTCTGCTTCTCTCCTCCTCTCTCTCCCTCTTCCTCGGCCCCTCCCCCTGCTCGCTCGAGCTCTCTCTCTACTATAAATAAACAAATCTTCAAAAAAAAAAAAAAGATGAGAAGATACACACAGATGCACAGGGACAGAGGCCATGTAATAATGGAGGCGGAGATTGGGGTGATGCTGTCATGAGCCAAGCAAAGGCTGGGCCCACCAGAAACTGGAAGATGCAAAGATGGATTCTTCCCTGGAGCCTTTGCAGGGGGCATGGCCCTGCTGACACCTTGATTTTGAGCTCCTAGCCTCCAGAACTGTGAGAGAATAAATTCCAGTTGTTTTTAGCCACCTAGTTTGTGAAACTAGCATCCCTACCAACGAATACAAGTCAGTAAAACCAAAGATCCCCCCCGGACCATGGCCAGGACAAGGTCTGCCGCCACCACGGCCTCATCCTGGGTACCTCACAGACCATGCCCCGTCCCCGATGCATGTTGCCTCTGATTCATGACCTTAAAAGACAAGGGAATCCTCTAGAACAATGTCTCCTTCTTTCATAACTCATGGGCTTTCAAGGTAATTTTAACAATACTACTTCCTCTTTCTCACACAGGTTACATTTTTCGTTTCACTTAGTCTACAAAGTTGATTAATATAGGTCCTTTAATATTAAAGTGGGTCCTTTCTCTGTAAGAACTGGAAGTTGCCCTTTGAAGGGTTTGGTCCCATCTTGCAGCTGTGAGCATGAGACACAGTGATCCATCCATACAGGACAAGGGATCTTTACATGCAATGTTTCAAATTGAACAAGTGTTAGAAATCACCTATGCTTCTGACTCTTAACAGTGTGGGGGTTACCGCTCCTTTTGAGAATCTGGTAAAAGAGGCCAACTCCCCATTCCTGAACTGTGCACCAAACACATAATATATCATCTCAGTCCCATCCTTGTGCCGAGGTTAAAATCCCCCTCGTTTTGCAGATGAGGAATATCAGCCTCTGAAAGATAAAGCAAAATAGTCCTCAAAGGGATCTGTGGCAAATCCAGGAAAAGAGCGTGGGTTCTCCATGACCCACCATCTCCCTGAGGCTCCTTCTGTCTCTCAGTCTGAAGACCCCAGTTTGCCAGCAGAGGCGACAAAAATGGGGGAGAGGGTACCTAGGGAGGGGAAGCCCCAGACTGAAGGAGCCAATGGTCAGAGCAAGGAGAGAGTCCGAGGTCTACACCTTTGACACAGGTGGTGACCAGGACACCACAGTGGGTTCCCAGGACCTGGCTCTCTTCCACTCTCCAGTGAGACCAAGAAAAAAGAGAAGAACTTTACATTAAAGCAACAAAACCTTGGATAATGCAAGGGGAATTTATTTTAAGCAACAATCTTTGCATTTCTGAAAGAAGTTTATATAATGTCCTCTGCAAACCTCTTAAAAATAGAATAGCACCTCATTTTTCTTAGATGATTTAAATGTAGATAAATATGAAGGCAAGAGGACAGGGTAGTCAGGAAAAATAAGTACGTGGTCTGCAAATAGCATTCCCACTCCCGTAGCCTGGAGCAGGCATTGCTCGTCCACATGGTACCATGTCTACACCAACACCAGGTGTGGTCTCAGAATCCTTCCCCTCAGCACTCCAGATGTTACTCCCGATAGGCAATGAGGTCTGCAATCTATTTGCCATCCTAGTGCTAAATGACCTTCCACACTGTTTCTAGTCTCTTGTGAGTAGATATTTCCCTGTAGTCCCATTTAAACTTTCTGATGGCTTTACTTGGTTCGGCAGAGGTCTAGAGACCTCCCTTTCTAGGGCAGTGATCTCTCCTAGGATTTCTTCTCATGGCTGGGCTCCTACATCCTCTGTCATGTGAAATAATGAAGAGGGCCCTAAAAATTCTCACGAACTTCCTGAGGTTGACATGGGCTATGAAGACAGTTCTTTCCAAGTATCAGGTTCAACCTTACTATTGCCCATAGGTCTTTTGTCTTGGTTTTTGATGCTCTTTTCTAACAGTGATCTCTAGCCTCTCTCTCTCAACTACACCCCTAATGCCCTGATGTTAGATATTGAAAAAGAAAAAGATAGAAGACACAAGTCTAAGCTACCTCACGAAATTCAAAGACAATGACAGATAAAGAACGGTGTGGTATTTACCATCTTGTCACTCTAAATATCAAAGAAGAGCAGCTCTGGAGCACCTGGGCGGCTCAGGGAGTTACGTGTCCAACTCTTGATTTTGGCTCAGGTCACGATCTCAGCATCATGAGATCCAGCCCCATGTTGGGCTCTGTGCTCAGTGTGCAACCTGCTTAAAATTTTCTCTTCCCCTCTACCCCTACCCCAACCCCCCTAACCTCGCACTCTCTCTCTGTCTCTCGCAACAAAAATAAAAACAAAACAAAACAAAAAAAGAACAAGAGCATCGGTAGGTATCCACTATACAGTTTAGATACATTGACCCTAGAGCCCAGTGCTGGCCTCCTTTTGTGACTCTGTTCTCTCCTTGTGTCACCAAGCATTCCAGAACGACTCTGGAACCTCCAATCCTATGTTCGCCGCAGTGCCCCTTAATCTGGTGATTTGTCTTCTGTGATATAACTGTACTGCCCCCCAAGGGAACTACCAAGTTAGCTCAAATGAAATGCTCCACCTAAGTGGAGGAAGCCACATGCTAGGAACCTTGCAGCCTGTGTGGAGGAGTGTGGCCGAGTTTTCTGTGCAAGAGATGGAGCTCAAGAGCAGGGCTGAACCAGAGGTGGTATTGTGTTTTTGGTCTTCCAGTTCAAAGTCCGGTTTGAAACAGTGTAATCCAGAGGTGCCTGCGTGGTTAGGTGGGTTAAGCATCTGCCTTTTGCTCAGGTCATGATCTCCAGGGGTCCTGGGATTGAGCCCGGCCTTGGGCTCCCTGCTCAGCAGGGAGTCTGCTCCCTCTCTCTCTCTCTCTCTCTCTCCCTCTGCCCCTCCTCACTGCTCTTTCTCTCAAATAAATAAATAAGATCTTAATCAAATAAATAAAACAATGTAAACCAAAGAGGTTTTCATACTTTCTGATGTGATTTCTGTTCAAGCAATCCTTTGGTCTTCCTGTTTCCATGCTCTCCTTCCTCCACTGTCCATTTTCCAACCCAATGCTAGAGGGGTCTTTTTAAACTTTCAGCTCATGTCCCAATTGCCCCTCAAAATCCTATAATGCCCACTCCCCGCCCCCACTTCTGTAGGCCTGTCTACAAGCCTCCTCTCCTTCCTGTCTCCTCTGCTCCAGCAACTCTGACCTTCTTGCCCACATCAGAAAGACACCAAGCTCCCCCCTGGGGCCCTATCTAACTATTGCTTCTGCCTTAAGCTGGATATTCCTTGGCCAACTGCCTCGCTTCTCTTCATCCTGGTTTCTCCACAGGGCCTATCCTGGTGGCCCTGTTTAACCTGTCTCCACATATGCACACTCTAGGCCACCATCCCCATTAGCCTACCCTCCTTTTTGTCTTTATTTATGTATTTTTTTTAAAGATTTTATTTAGTTATTTGACAGAGAGAGACATAGCAGGAGAGGGAACACAAACAGGGGGAGTGGCAGAGGGAGAAGCAGGCTTCCCGCTGAGCAGGGAGCCCGATGCGGGGCTCGATCCCAGGACCCTGGGATCATGACCTGAGCCGAAGGCAGACGCTTAATGACTGAGCCACCCAGGTGTCCCTTTGTCTTTATTTTTATTTTCCCAAAGCACTTTTGAACTTCCTAGGTACTATATCATTCTTACTTATTATGATTACTGTTTATTATCGGACTCTCTCCCATGAGAATATAAGCTCCAGGAGGGCAGGAATCTTTTTCACTAATTTTCTTTATCACTAATGCATTCCAAGGGACTTGAATAGTGCTAGGTACTTAAGAGGTTCTCAGTTAATATTTGATGCATAAATGGTTCAATGAGGAAATAAACGAGAGAATAAAGCCTTTGTTCTGGGATGCATACTGATTCGTGGCAAAAAACATCCCCTTTAAAGGGTTTCTGAAGTAAGGAAATGGAGGGGAAAATCAACATTGTAGAAAGACCGAACACAAATAATAGCAGTTACCCTTCTCCTTGATATATTACTCACCGGTGGTATTTACCTATTTTTATAGGAACAAAACTGACAAAATTTCCAGCAGGTAGTTTTTACAGTAATTTTATTTTTAAACTGAAGAAGTTCCCAGCAGATCTTTGGACCAAAAAACAAACTATTGCTTAGATTACTCTGACAGAACATTAGGTTTCCCTTCATTGGATAGGAAGCAGAAATGCACGTACAAGGAAGTGGCTTAAAAGTCATAAGTATTTTGCCCAAAGAAAGATGCTTTTGTGGTTGAATGATGGAATAATTTATGCTAACTACCTTTCAGTGACTCTAATTTTGCACGCAGAGGTGAGCTCATGTAATGAGGAGCCAAAAAGCCTTAGTGAGACAAGCTCTCTGGACTGTTAATGAAATTCCAGGCCCAAGGGTAACACTAAGGCAGTGTAATGTATTATCATAGAATAACCGTCATCCCATCCAATTAACTTTTGCAGAGGAAGCAACCTTGAATCTAAATGCCAACAATATTGGGCTATATAAAGACATCATGATTCTCT